TTGTTAGATAGCTAGGTCGAATTAAATCGCTCTCTGGAGGAGAATTCTAGCAACATGTTGTTCTGATCGGTAGTTTTTTCTCGTTTCTCCAATCAACAGCAGGCGAATTCCTGAGCAGGGCTCTAACAAACGGGTCACGGAGCGCGCGAGATCTTTCTTTCCTCTTCCTTCTCCTAACCTCATCCCTTACTTCCATGCACCACACCATCTACACATCCATCCATGCCGTGAGGCCAGTCGGGAAGGTAGAATTTGCCCCTGGTGGGCCGGAAGATGCCTTGTTCGTGGAAACTCCGTTAGCTGACGGTAGGGCGGAGCCAGACCTCACCATCCAGCGGGGGATGATCACCGCCAACCCTCGAGGAAAACGAAAGGGCACAGGAAAACACTACACTTACGGGTCTAATGACCTCAGTAGTTGACGCGCCCGTAATCGCTAATCAATCAAATCACTCGGGATCTTAGGCCTCGTCTCAAGTGGGGAGCTATCAGTAGTGGGAAACGCTGTGAAGGTCGACGCCGTTTCTCTGGTTCCGGCGGCGGAGGAACCCGTCACACTCAGAGATATAACGTGCACAATACTTGTGGATCTACTGTCTGTCAGCTGTTGGCACGATCAGAAACACAGAATAATAAATACGTTATGTTTCTTGACCGCCATGATTTATATAATGGAATGTACTTGAGTTTCGGTCATTTTGTGATCAAATGATGTTTTTGTAATGACCGAAACTCAAGAACATTCCATTATTATAGAAGTAATCAATCGTGATTATCAGTCCCTCTCTCTACGCCACTGACCGCAGCGAGACTAACAGAGAATGCGTGCCCGTTTCAGACCCCTTTGGAAGGTGCGCAGACGTCCATCCATTTGGTCGTGTCCGAGAAGGTGGCGGGAGTCACAGGCCGCTACTTCCGAGACTGCAAGGTAAGAGGAGCTCAGCTAAACTGCTTCTAGACACTAAATACTTTAAATGTAAAATGGAATCAAATACACATGCATACAAAAAAAGTTGTCAGAGCCAAAGATCTGACATAGGTTTTTTCATGTATTTCGCTGCTCTGAATCCAAATCCAAAGCCAGAATTGCGCCATCACCCTCCAGTTGTTTTTAATTTGCCACATTATAACTTTTGTGTTATTTTTTGCAATTTAAAAACAACTGGAAGGTTGTGACACAAGTATTGCTTCCGTTTTTGATTCAGGACGTCGACAAACATACATAAACATGTATCAAGTCTTTGGGTCTGACAACCGCCCCAAACAAAAATACAATTATAAAATGTTTTTTTGCTATTTGAAAAAATGGAAGAAGGTACAGTAATTCTGGCTTTAGATTCGGATTCAGCGCGCCGAAACACACACAAACATGCAGCAAGTGAGTGACATACATTCTCAAGTAGATAAAGCATCTTACGCTTCGTGTAATGTGTTATTTTATTCCAATTCTTTTAAATTAATTATTTTAGAGCTTTTTAAAAACATCTAAGATCATGATTTACACGAGAGATACTAATCATCATCAATAAACTATATTGTTTTAGAAACAAATTCTAATTTTTATTAAAGTTCAAAATGAAAAAGAATAGTTTTCGTCTGGTCAAATTGTTCTCTGCATCGCCACCAGGAGTACTGCTTGGAGCCACTGCTTGAAGAGCCCGTGAGAAAACATTTAAAACTGTTTATCGCCCATAGGTGATAAATAGGTACTGTAGGAGCAAAGAGAGAAACCTGTATTAAGCCTCCATTGTTGTTTCTGCGAAAAAAAATAGTATTTTAGAGGGGTCGTGGCTTCATAGAGGGAATATTTTCGTTTACAAAACTAATGGTGCTAAAACAGTACTTTCTCGCCATTAGTATTGGTTGTGAAATACTATTTATACCACAATTTCTCTCCGAATTTTTGTTTGTAAATCTCATTTGGAACGAAAAATAAGCAGAATGCGAGAAAGTAACATAATTAAAAGTTAACAAATAATATGGTACTAGTAGCGGTGGAAAACAAATATATTGAAAATTATATAATAGTAATTATTAAACAATATTATATTGTAATATTCTTCATATATATAAAAGAATTGGTTTTTATTATTGGGAATGAAAAGTAGCCGTCATTTTGGCCTTTTGTTATCCGTGCGGCGTTACAACAGTGGGTAACAACAACCAAGAATGACCGCTCATCTATTCTTAATCACGTTTAACACAATTAAAAGACATACAATTCATTTTGGGTTATTTACTATCTTTTGAAATGCATTGAAAAATATGTCTCTTTCTCTTGGTTAAAAGTAAATGCTTAAATCAGTTTCAGTTCTCCCAATATTTGCGTACCGGTAACTAACTTCCATGTATAGAATAGTCAATTAATATTGACATATTATGGCATTTGTGTGTGTAAGGAGTGTGTGTTGTGTCTTAGAAACTCGAAATCTCGCACTTAAACAAACATCAAGCGGTGGGTTGTGGATGCTATCTAGGTTTAAATTCCGGTCGCAACCTAAACACTGGCACATTACGTGGTAAGATTCCCTCGAGAATGAAGCTGAGGCACAGGGAGTGTCGCAACCTAAACACTGGCACATTACGTGGTAAGATTCCCTCGAGAATGGAGCTGAGGCACTGGGAGTGTCGCGCGAATTCCGTTTACTGTCCTGTCCCCTGGCTGGAGAGCCCGCACGGGCATTGGCCGACCAACGGTGACCCAGCCTCTCGACCACGAGCACAAAGACATCCCTCCACCGTATATTCTGGTCTTCTTAACCTTACGGCGGGCGTTCTTATCGACACACAGCAATTGATACTGGGACATTTGTAAGGAAAGAATTCAGTTTACAGTGTCGCCAATAATTTTTTCCTGTTCTGCAGTTTTTCATTTCAGGGGTTTGTACATTTTTATTTTTCATACATAGCATTTGGACATACAACCTCTTATACATTTTTATTTTGAACATATATTCTTATAGTGAATATTTATTTTTCATGGGGATTTTAACATATCTTTAGGATATCGTGAACGTATTTTCTTGGGATTGTTTTCCCCATTGTACATTTTATACTGCAAGGAGAAGATGGAAGACGTGTAAAAATGTTTTCATAGTTATTACTTATATACTCGTTTAGGGGCTCTATTTGAAGTTCTCTTTGAATGAGTGTATTAGAAATAATTTTAACTGCTGAAAATTTGGTGAACTGTTATTACAATGTTCGCGAAGGCGGTCTGGAAAAACAGGCAAATTAAGAAAATTGATATTAAGCTGATGGTCTAGGAGAGGGGTTGTCTGTTAGATCGAAGAATTTGCTAATCAATGTTATCAATGACGATTTCAAGAAAAATAAGTCGTTGAGGGAGATGATCTTTTGAATGTGTTTCACTTAAAGACAGATTAATAAGCATCTTTAACTTTATTAATAAAATAAGTTTGCCACAAGATTTACACAGAGCAAATTAAATGAGAGCGCATAACCAGACTTGGATTTCTTCGTGTGCAGGAGGCGCCAATGGCAAGGACAGCCGAAGACTATGAGCTCTCCAAGGCGGTGTACAAGAAAAGCATCGAGCTGTTGAACCTGAATGAGAGAGAGTGCCCGTCTTTCTTACGGTGACCAGTGACGGTTCGTGGAAAAACTTTCGAACAAACTATGGAAACATAATTTCTTCTGACATTCATACATGCCACACATGAACGTGGGGTAGGAGACGGCATATTGCTTTTGATATTGGAGAATGGTGCACATTACAGTTCACACAGCTTCAGAAATAATATACAAAATCCCATCCCTCTACATCATTTTATTGCAGTTTTCTATTCGCATACCTTTGATACTTTTATCTTAGGTGATAATTATTAACACGCTTACTTTTATCTCCGTAAAATAAGAGGGACACGTTTTTAGTTTCAATAGTTCAGGGTTACAAATGAGTTGCAAGAGTTGCTGAGAATTCAGTTTTTTGAACTCTGCATTAATGGGATTCATTTTAAAGTTAATGTAAAATGTTGAGTAATTGGTGATAATTTTTACAATTACCTAATGCTCTTATTAACAAAATGAAAAGTATTAATAATAATTCACATCAAATGTTACGACATTAAGGTGACAATTATTGTAATTAGTTAACATAACATTGTTTTAATGGATGCATTATGAGCGATGCTTTTTAAAACAAAAATGACATACTGAAAGTGCTCCATAACACCATTTATGCTCCCTCTTTGTAAAGTTTCGATTCCTTCAAAGCCAAAAACTCGTAAAAAGTGATTAGAATACTTCGCAATGAAAGTGATATTACATTGTTCTTAAAGTGAAATGTGCTTTATTATTTGTAACCAAAGAGAGATGGTGTTCTAAGTGGGAAATCTTGTCAATTTTCTTCGCACAATTTGCATCGTTTCAAAAGAAATTTTGATCAGTTTTTGATGTTTTATTATGCTGTGTAGTTTTTAAGTTTCGAAATAGTAAACTTATGTACTTAATGCATAAGAAGTTACCAATATTCAATTGTGATATTATACGTTTTAAACCAAAAAATAAAACGCACAATTTAAGTTAGTTCTGATAGATATTCTTTAGTGTATTGGTATTGTACTAATTGGAAACTTTAACACTCTCCATATGTCAGTAAAATTCACAAATTTTGTTGTCAATTCTCTTTTGGATTCCGTTAACAAGTGTGCTAGAGATTAAGGTAAGGTTTGTATAAAAACCGTGATCAATAAAAAAACAATGTCTTGATGTTACACTTAAAAAAATGTAGTGCTCTCTTTGTCAAAAATATTAATAATAAAGATATTAAAAGTTCTTCGCAGAATATAATATTTCTCATTAATATCTAGAAATAAAACTAGAAAAAGTCGAGAAATATTGTTTTCGGGTTCGTAATGAATAAACGAAGCACACGACTGTCGTACAAAATTTTATTTTCTGTTGATAATTTCTCGCTGCAACCGCGGAGCAATGCAGCTCGCAGCCCAGTGCGCTCCGCTACCAGCGAAAGTTATCACTCCGCGCTGGAAAGGGTTCGGCCCGCAGTGACGGCGCAGACCTCGCTGTATTGTGTTCGACTTAGTTGCGAAGTGTCTTTCATTGATAGTGTTCGTGAAGTGTTACTTCGCGTAAAAACAATTAACACCGAATATCCGACAAGCCCTGGCCTCGATCAGAGCATTTCATAAGCTCTGTCGGTGGTGAACGGCAATGGACGGATTCTTGGAATTGGCTTTTGCAATTCTATATATTTTCTCCGACTCCTGATCCCTCATAACAAATGGCAGTGAAGCGGGGGATCAAGGAAACCCGGAAGCCGAAGATACGTACTCGTTAGAAGAAACCCAAGCAACCTCGCCATTTACCACTATTCAAAGGTACCGTAACCGAAATGGCGCGCCCGCCAATGGTTCGCGCAAAAGACCAGCTAACCCTAGCGAACGACGTTAACTTCAAAAATTCAACAAAGACCGAAATGTATTTATTGTATGGGTTTTATTCGCGGGGAGGGTCCTTAGGCAGTTGTTTCGCACCCGAATTTCGACCCAGGCTTCCTTAGAAGCTTACCCCCGACGCAGGTCAGGGGACCTTTATCTAAGTAGGCGGTACGGGCGGTCCCCTAAATATGCCTGGGACGTGACTCACTTTCTCCACCAATGTCGGTCTGTCATAGTATCTGAACTGTCTGGTTGGGAGAGAGTGAGATATCGTTAGGGCCAGATGTCGGAGGGATTTCATTTTGCCGGGCATCCGCCATGCCACCAGAGTGACATGGCTACTGTGGAAATCCGCGCACTGGGGGTTCAGACCAGTAAGCTAGCACCTCAGACTCCGAGGCAGGCTTAAGGCCAAAAGATTCGCCCCAGTTGACCCAAATAATGGGCGATGAAAATATATGAAAACAGTTACAGAACGGGGCTGAAGTCTAATAAACGGTACAACTTACGGAAGTCGTTTAAATCGGCACTTATCGCGCGATAACCCCGGCGTTAACTAGGCAGTTTGAATTCTGGAGGCTTACTTGAAAAGTGATTTCTTATAAAAGTGAATTGTTTATTATGCGGTGGATAAACTCAAGAATGTTTATTGTGAACGCGAGGGCCGAAGGCCCGAGCATCGCTGTGACTTGCATCCGGGCGAGCGAAGCGAGAAAACTTGCCTTTGAAAGTAAATTGTCATTACAATGCGGCGGGGACAATTCGTACGAAGGGCGAACCATAAAAATAGCCTACATGTAAGTTTTATTAATTTCTATCAGAGCACGTAGAGTAATGAGGGCTTAACGAACTCCCCCCCTCGCCACCACGCTTCTCTGAGGCCGTATCTTGTAAGTAATGGAAACTAGGAACAGAATTGAAGCTCTCGTATCCAACAAAGACGATAATGCTTCTGAATTGCCAGCGACTACACCACACATTTTCATTCATAATGTCGATCATTGCAAAATGTTGATTACGGACCTAAAAAGTGTAACCTGTAACACTTTTTCTGCCAAAATCAGCAACAAAACTGTAAAAATAAAACTATTAGGATCAAGGAATTTACAGAAATAATTAGCTTTTGTAAACAGAAATGTATAGATTCTAATTCGTTTCAAGATCCATCGACAAAATCCAAAGTAGTAGTAATGAAAGGTATACTCATCGATTACATCGAGGAAGAAATAACAAGTAAACTCATTGCCCTTGACTCTACTTCCTACGTAACTTTGACATAAAAGAAATATTCAAATTAAACCATTTATTTTTCGCAATTGCCAAGATTAAACATAGGAACAGACCTAAAATTCCAATTCAATGTAAGAGATGTCAGAGATTGTCACAAAAGGTAGCTGTAATCGTGAATCAAGGTGTGTAAAATGCCTAGAAGTTCACAATTTAAGAAATCTACCTTATCATCTAGATGTAAGTTAAAAAATCAATTAGATTCTAATATTTCACATTATCCCAAACACTCAACAATGTATTACTCGCTCTCCAAAACGAATTCCCAAGTGTGCCTACAACTCTGACTTAGCGCCACTCAAGGCACCAACTTGAACAATCGCTCCTATGCGAACGCAATAAACTTGCTAAGTACTTCCAGACTAGGTGAGTTACCACTCTCAAAATTAGTGCTGCTATATCAGCACATACTTTCTCGCCATTAGTAATGGTTATGTAAAGCTATTTACACCACAATTTCTCTCTGAATTATTTTTTGTAAAAATTTGACATTGCAGGTCATTTGGTGCGAAAAATAAGCAGTATGCGAGAAAGTAAAATAATTTAGTGTTAATAAATAATACAATACTAATAGCGTTGGCAACATCTAAAAATATATAATAGTAATTATCATACAATATGGTATTGTAATATTCTACAAATATATTACATTATGTAAGATGGTAAAAATATCCCCCAAACCAAATGTCATGTGAGTAGTTACACGATAACTCTAACATAAAAATAATATTTTTAACAGATTTCTCAGCCTTCGTCCCACCACCCACATACCTCTACAACCAAAAACGTGATTTTGTTTTTAAATTTTTCGGCAACTTGACACGATTTTGTCTTATTGAAAAATAAGAAAATAATGTAAACTTTCAGAAAAATATTTTTCGATATTTTCTTACGGGAAATTAAAACGCAAAATATATTTTTTAAATAAGAAAAAATAATTTTTACTGCCTTAGAACACTAAAACAAGCTCGAAAAAATCTTAATATTTACTATCATTCGATATGTCGGTATCAAGGACCCACAAAACATGGATTCTGGCTACAGCACGTGATAGAGTACTTTTTTTCAAAATCTGCATTTTTGAGCTCAATTTCACAAAAATGTGTTGAAATTTCGTGAAACTTGGTTAGAAATTATTTGAATCTTCTCAAAAGAAGGTTGAGACCTACCGAATAGCTATCCGACACAGAAGGGCACAACTAGTACGAGAAAGTCTGTGTCATTCTCTACCGCCAGTAGTTAATTAATGAAATATCTTCTTCAAAATTAGATCCTTAAATAACATACCAGATTTTGAAAGTATGACCAGTGATTATGATATGAGAATAGGAAGTAGTGACAATTTAAAAAAAAAGTACGTAAGCAAGTTTTCTAAAAACCGCCGATTTTTTTTCAAAATCAAGTTCTGGTTATGTAAGGTAATAGGTTCTTTTTTCATTAAAATCTCTGGAATTTTGAACTTCTATACATTTGATGATGGAACTGGAAACTTTTTTAATGCAAAGTATTCTGCAATATACTATCTTCATATAATTGCAGGTACACATTTAAAAAAATGGTAGTTTTCGCGTAATTTCAAGAAGAAATGTGTATAATCAGACGAATATTAGGGGTGTATTTTGTAGGAATGTAGGGATATATTTTGACCCAAAACTCTTCGTTTTACGGTCGGGGAGGCAATATAGACTGCACAGCAGAAAAATCCAAAATTACAGATATTCGATAAACAAATGAAATAATAAACAAACACACAAATAAATAAATAAGTACGTCTTTGTGTTCACACAAAATACTCAGGTCATAAGGTTGGCTCTTCCGTGTAATCACTTAATTTATGGAATATTGGTCGGCTTTAATGGGCAAATGCGTGTGTATGAAGATTATCTTCGGAAAGCGATGTATTATCAACCACAATTTCACAGATAAGCAAATTAAAATGGAAACTGTTGGGTTAACAAGTTTCGAAGTTGCCCAAACTAGGTGAGATGGCAAAAATATTCACAGATGCATATTTATTTTAAACGTAATTTTTGTTAAATTTATTTTTCTGCCTGTTCGGCATAATATGCCTTTCAGGGGTTTTAATTTACAATTTATTATTACACATAATTTTTGGCCTTTCGGCTGACAGTATTTGAGGAGGACCACACGGCTACCTCGTAAAAAATGTCTGCAGAGCTGTAATTCAAAAGAAATTTATTTATTTTTTTTTAATTAATGCATTTATTTGTTGTGTTTTTTTCCAGCAGCGGAATTGATTAATGGGAGGGGATGGAAATTATTCTAATTTAAGGTGGTTTAAGAGAGTCTTTGGGGTATCGATTTCGGGTTGGGATGGGAGCATCTTTGCCTAGATCAAATATTTGTGCACTTGTACACGACGGAAGAAAGATAAAAAATCTGTTACTCATCCGTTGAATATATTCGTTAATGGAAGGAATGTTTAGCTCTCTGTGAATTTTCATATTTGGAATAAACCAAGGGGCTTGTACGGCTTTTCTTAGATACTTGTTTTGAATGATTTGTAGTTTCTTTAGATGTGTGTTTGCTATATTGTTCCAAACTTGACAGGCATATGTTAATGAGGGACGTATTATCGTTTTAATATTTGGTAATGCGCAGTCCAGACTAAGCGATGACTTGTTATTAATTATGGGGTAGAGTTTGTTCATTTCTGCGTATGTTTTGTTCGTTATTTCTTGAATGTGGTTTTTCCATGGTCATTTTTTATCTAGTAATACACCCAGATATTTTACGGGAAACGTAAATTTTGAACCCTAATGAACAAATAGGCCTGACAAGATTTAGGTATTTGATAGACATTCAATTTAAAAATTTTCAAAACACATCCAGACGCAAAAATGATTTTCCCCCTGATTTTGAGTTGTAAGTGGTAGACATTTCCTCGAATAAAATGTTTAACGACACATTTTAGGAAGAAAAAACTTAAACTTTAAACAAACTTCTCTTGAAGTACCTAATGATAATTATTAAAAACTGAATACCTTTTCCAGGGTTGTTTTCTGTTTCGAGATCAACAAATCTGCAAATTAGTACGAGATTATAAAATCTAGATATTCAATATCTTTGTCAAATGGGCATTTGAAGTAAATTTTAACGTCAGGTCGGATACTGAAAGTATAATCTGAGTCTATTACTTATATAACAGTTATGTTGAAAGAAATGCGAGATTAAAATGTCGTATTAAATATAAATATTTGTTTATTATACAGACTAATAAACATTTTCGTAAAAATCCCATCCGTTTCTATTGAAAATCTGAAAATTAGTCATCTGAAAAGATTCTGAAAAACGCAAATCGGATTCCTTCCTGAGTGGTTTTCTTTCTTTCACCTTTCGTAAGAATAAAACAATGCTCTTAATTCAATTTTCAATTAATATTTTGAATTTTAAACAAATTAAAAATATGTATTTTTGTTCGAACATTTGATTTTTTATTTGGTTAGGAGTTTACAAGCAATGGTTGATTTGTTTGAAGGATGTTATTTTGGAGGACGACCGCGATAAGGCGTATCAGAGCCTTCGACGCGGAGTAACCGGGACAGCCAAGGTCATTTGCAAGGCTCGACGCGGAAGCCTTCGACCATTATCAATAATACGAGAAAGTACATTCTGTTGTGAAAATTCTAGTTAACTAGGAGCATGAAATAATGGCATTGAACGTTTTTCTTTCCCAAAATGTGGATATAAATTTACGTCCGTGTGAATCACCGCAAAAATATAAAACGGGAAGTTCTTAAAAGTAGAGAAAAACTTCTGTAGTGTTTCCATAGAATTAAATACGCATTACTATGAAGCGTGTTTTAAAGAAATGTCAACTTTTACTTTCCGATTAAGAACAAAACCGTTCAGTACAGAAATTCATTTTGTCTTATGACAAGGAAATCACCCATTTTTATACGTCCTTTTTCATATATTTCTTCAATTTCGACTAAGTCGTTACCATTTTCGGTTATTTTAATGCATTTTCGCTCATTTAATCGACTTTAATATTATTACACAGAGGCTTTTCATTTGGCTACGCAGTGGTTCTCATTTGGCTACGCAGTGGGATTAATATTGGTCGTCCTGCCCATGACGTCACAGTCGAGAAAATTTAAGCAAGTTGTCATGTGAAATACTGGTGTGCGTTTATTGTTTGCAGTTTGGTCGCGTTTTGTGAAGTATTCGCGATGCCAAAACTATACATTACCGGGATTAATATTATATAACATTAACTTAATTTTGTTTAGTGTGTAAGTGAATTGTTATACCCTTGTTATACCCAAGCTCGCGGGTTCAAACCCGATCGAAGCCGTGGATTTTTAAGGGCGACAAAATCCTTCATACGCCTTCCTTCGGAGGGGAAGTAAAGCCGGCTGTCCCATGTTGGTAGATTTACTTGCATGTAAAAGATCCTCAAGCCTAAATGACGCCTCTGAGCTAAATTCAAAATCGCCTGTTTCTCACCCAAGAAATACCTCCTTTCTCTGCTAGATGAAAGGAGCGTAGCGAAGTTTGCGTGGTTATACGGAAGAGCGGGCCTGATGGCCCGAGTCTCACCACGTAAAATAAGGCAAATTCAATTCAATTCAAGTGAAAAAGATGGTGTTTTGGAATGCGTGTTCATAATGTGCGTTTGTGTTTACAGGCTAAGAAACTAATTTTATTATATTCTGCGAATATACCGAGTTGTGCAGTGTCAGTGTGTGTAAAATACAACCAAAAATCGAAAGGAGGCGTTGTAGTGTATCATTTGTTTCCGCAAGATCCTGAGTAGAAAATGAGTTCATGGTTGTAAACGCGCAGACTAATTTTATGTACAGCATGCCACTACATGGAGTCTCCATGTAGTCCATGTAGTCCATGTCTCCATTTTAGGAAAGACAATTGCATGCGAGATTTGCAATCTGAACTGTGAGGAAGTTAAATTATGCCCAAAATTGACACCTGCTCATATCAAGGTGCTCGGAAGAAATCGTCAAAAAGTTCATGTTGCTTGTTACTGTCTAATCATGTTGGTTAGGTAATATCTTACCTTATGCTTAATAAACTAGAAATATATAATTTTATGTAATTATGTGTTTGACGTAATGAATTGAAGGTCTCTAAATCTGACGATTGTTCTATTGCAATTGCTTTTGGAATGCAAATGCAAGCTGAAGGACAATTACACGCACTTTTTCTTGAGCCGTGAAATACCTACCCCCATTCCTTTACGAACATTAGTTGAATTCAGTATAAATGAAAGCAACAAGCTTTGTTGACAAATTATGATGATCATAAATGTTTGTTCGCGTGTAATAGAAAATATTTTGCATTGAACAATGAACTACAGATTTCATATGATAGGCATGTCAACAAAATAATCAAACATCCCGGTTCTCCGGCATCTAGCGATGTGAGGCCTCAAGAAAACGTGCGACCATTCCCATTCTGCTCTTCCTCTTATTCTAGGTACTATCATTTCAATGGTACTTGGTTCAAATAATATCTGCGAGAAGCAACAAAATTCCGGAGAAGCTTATTCGATACCTCCACTCAGAAATTATGTCAGCCATTATATGTAATCTAAGGTTCGTGTGACGCCTATCAGTGCCATTGTCGGTTCGGCCGATTTCAGTTTAACTAAAGACAGAAATTTCCTGGTAAAGAGCAGTAGCCTTTAAACCAAAAGTCTGCGAGCAGATATCACTTGAACGAAAAGAAGAAGCCTCGATTTCCTCAGTAAGTATCCAAACATTGGAGTTGTTCATCCAAACTGTTTTTGATCACATCTTTAACGTCATTTTTCTTTGCTTTTATAGCATTTTATTGATAATTTTTGTTGTGCAATGTTTTAAGTCATCAAATCCGCCCACTACTCATCACCGCCACCTGTGCACTCGCGTACCGCGAGCGCAGATAAAAGATATCTTGCGGAGTCATTCCACACCTGGTGCGTGGGAACGTACTCCAAATCGGCTGAATGGCGTGACGTAACGAGGCGTGCTCGAAAGCGTTGGTCGACTCGGTTAGTGCGCGATCGCCGCTGCCATGAGTGTGCTGGGCTTTCTGGGGGCGCTGTTCTTCAGCCGGTGGGTGGTACTGGTGGCCACCGCCGCGGCGATCTATCGCTTCTGGTACAAGCTCACCACCGGCGTCTGCACGTCCACCCGCCGTCTCGATGGCAAGACCGTCCTCATCACTGGGGCCAACACAGGTGAGTGCAGGAGTCGACGGCGCTGAGTAGAGATCAATCATTGCCGGGCACCATTCGGTAAGCGAAGCACATCATCCTCGTTGCGAATTTTGCTGTAAGCAGGGGCGGATTTAGGCATAGGTAGAGGAGGCACATGCCTACGCGGCAAAAATTTTGGACTAAAATTGTGTCTAAAGAGCCTTGTCTTCATCGCGGCGAGTTTTTTTTTTCTATTCTATGAGTTTTTGAACAGAAATATTAAATACACGCGTATAACTTCTGAGTATCTTGTGATAAGTGAAAATGAGTTAATTTTTTAGTTAGATATATTATATTAAGTTTAAAATTATACAATTAAAACTTAATTACAATTACCGAAAAGGAGTCATGTTACCTCAATTCCAGATACCTTGAACGGAATACTTAGAATTTATTCTAATATAAATTTTAAAAATAATATGTATTTAAATTCAAGTATTTTTAATAATATCAATCGGGATAGCCGAGATCGCTAAGGTAGTAGTGTCGTGGCGATATTAGTGATCGTCCCTTCAACCATCATCCTCACACTTCATTAAAGATGGATTAATAATTCCCCGCGCGAGCAGGAGGCCCTTGCCCTTAATGGGACGTGCAGTTGCCAAAAAAATTAATAATATGTTTGAAGATATCTTACTCCGTTCTTATTTCCTAGTGCTAAATGTACACATCTACGTTAATTTAAGAATTAAAGGTATAACAACGGTAGAATAATAAATATGCATAGCAAGTAAAATAAAAAACATAATTAATTTGTGTAATTTATGTTCATCAAAATAGATTAATTAAAGTTATGTAATTTTCCACAGAAACATGCATAAATTAATTGAATCATGTGGAAGTTTAGTCACTTGTATGAGTCTAATTATTAATAATAAATTATACTTATTATAAATCATATTTAACTTTTTTCTGGGTTATTTGAAAAAACAACAACAAAAAAACAAAAAAAAAAACAGGTGGCAATGTTTTGCGTGCCTACAGGCGTCAAAGTTGTTAATTCACCTCTGGCTGTGAGCCTGTTCCAATTAGGAACGCGTCATCAACAAAATATCGATTCAATAAAACAATGCCTCAAAGTGTTTAGTAGCTTCTTAAAGTTAACTTTCGCGGGGGGGAATGAATTTGAGGGTTCCCATGTTTATTAATTTATATTTAAATCAGTATTAAAATAATTTGATGGAAAAGGGGATTCATTTATTATATCCTCACTAATTACGACCGTAAAAATTTCCAACACTAAAAAAGTTCTTTTACTCGGTGCAATGTTTGTTCTGGGCAGGGCAGTGCCGCTTTCTGGGCAGGCCAACCTGGAGAAGCGGTCAGTAAGCTTTGGGCGAGACGGCCCAAAGCCCTACGCCCTACATATACAGTGTCCAGGGAAGAAACAAACATAGAAAATAAGCTCTTAAGTCAATTTTAAGAAATTTTTTTATAATATACGCCTTTGATAAGTACTCAAAAGTTGGTCTGAAAAAAATACTTTCTATGCAAAAGTTTGCATTTTAGAACATATAAATCCTCCATAAACATGTAAATTATTTATTATTTAGAAAATAAATTAATATATTTGTTTACAAAGAAAGATTAACGCAAAAATAAAAAGCAGTTGAATTATGTACATGGGGTGCTTTTTAACTTATGTGTCAATTTTTCTTTGTGAACAAACAAAATCATAATAATACATTTTTTGTCATGAAAAACGTTTGTTATTGTGGCACATGCGATTATTCATTTGGGACGTTTTACTCAGCAAATACCAACAGATCGGTTTCCGTTTGTGTCGTCGGACAAGGCTCCTTTTGAGGCGAAAGTGAAACTCTTCTAAAACATAGAATTTCCTTGTCTTTTCAGATCCTCCATCCGGTCTCACTGCGTCTGAAAGTTCAATTCACTGATGTGTGAAAATTAGTTTTTTCTTTTTGTACTATTATTCTTCAAAATTAAAACTTTGGTGTAAAAGAAAAAAAATAGCTTCAAAAATCGACGTTTTGAAACACCGATGGATCCCTAGATCCGAGGATGGCCAGAACAGCCGATAATTTTTCCACGCTTGTTTCGTAGTTCAGATGTTCCTAGGCAGGGTTCACGCCAGTCTCTACAACGCAAGTTGGCCGACAAAAGATGAGCTTTACTCGAATAAGAATAAATATTGATATACTATTTATTATTTGTGAGTTGCTGTCGTAGTTTTCACATTTTCAATATTTTACATTTTTATTTGCACAGTTGAGAAGCGGAGAAAGCCAAATCTTTTCTGGCATGATAAGAGTCCCCGACCTTTTGACCCCACTTGTATTTTGGGAGTTAAGTAGTTAGAGATATATTACCACCAGCGTTTCTGCCCGTTATCCTCCACTCCTCACTCAAACTCCGAAATGTTATGGATACAATCTTCGATCATCATTTGGTATGATCTAAGCCCTCGGTGGCTGGTTGGTTAGCGTGCTGGTTTTTCACGGTGCAACCTCGAGTTCGATTCCGCGGCCGGCACAAAATTATAAATGTGCCGTCCTTAGAAATATTTCACTATCCATTGCTGCATGCATGTTCGTGCTAACTACACAAACCCCTTATTTCATGGCGGAGAGGCAGGGCTATCCCTGGTCGGCCAAGGCCCGTATCGGGCTGACGAGCTAAAGGATAGGAATTTCGTAGGTCATTCACTGTATTTCAGAAAAAGTTCAGTCCTATAAAAAAGTGCTTTGAAATTGTAGGGAATAAACAGTTGTTTATTTAACTACAAAAACAGTTAAACATTGTGTGACGTATCGTAGAAAAGTGATTATTGTAAATAACTGGAAACTTGTTTTCTTTCTCTATATTACGTTCCTTATTGTATTCTAAATGAAGTTTTAACATATCGTCCTTAAACCTAGCTAACGGTTGTCTATACATGAAATAGAGCTATTTCATACGGACGGAACGCATATGTCTCCAGGATATTTTTGCAGCTCGCAGCGAAGGTCGAGCAGGTATTTATGTATGTATGTAGATGCAGGTATGTGCCTGCGTGGGGGAACGTGTTAGGTACGGCGAGAATATAGTATCGTATGTTCGGCGCGAGCACGGCTCGGAAAAAGGAAAACATGCGAGGGCAATTAATTTTTATTTCCTCGTCTACATATATTTATACCTAGTATAGAGAAAGTTATGTAATGATGCGGAAAATCGATTTCGAGATTTTTACGAAAATTCACGTTTTGGGGTCCCTTGATACCATAAAAGTATTTGTTTCGAGAAGTTTCTTTGCTTGTCTGACGGACTTTCCCAGTACCAATCGGGTATTTATTTATCATCAAAATCTAACTCGTATCCTTCGAAATCTTATTTACTTATTTAATTCAACCAATGCACTATTTATTCGCCGAGGTTTATCCGTCGCGAGAAATGTTTTGGTGGGTTGACAACACCCCCTCCGTATTCGCGACCAAGAAAATTTTTCGTAATAAATATTTATATTTACTTGTGGGGTTCGGGGATTCTTCTTATCATGACCTAAATAATATAACTCGGTTTTCAAATCCATTAAATATTGTAATTTGTTTCTCTTTAGCTTGAATCAAACAAAACATACATAACACATTTCCGTACCAAAACAAAAAAGCAAAACAAACAAAACCCTTAAAAACCTTTGTACATTAATACTTCCATTCAGATTATTATTTACATTACCACATTCACATATTTTTCTTCCTTCTTCACGCATGCATGGCCATTTACCCCAATCATATTATGAAAATCTCGAGTTCGTTTACCGATGCAAATAAGTTTTCTATAACTCGGGAACGAAATGTCTAGTTTTCTACAGATGTTGCTAATCTTGGGCTTTAAAATTTTTATTATTATTGTCATTATTTATTCATTATCATTTTGTCATTATTATATTATTGTCATTATTATTAATTATTAGGTATTATTATATTTTATTATCGTCATTATTATTATTATTATTATTTTAGTCAATTATTATTATTATTATTATTGTCATTATTATTTGACTTTTATTCATCTTTCAACTGTTTATAATTAAAAGTCAAATCAAATAAATTATTACTAGCTAACACAACTTGATCTTTCCATAATACTCATTTTTTAATATCCCCCTTTGTCGAATTCCCGGTAAATTCGACGAATTCCGTCGAATTCCAGGTAAATTCCAAATTACATTCAGCCTAGCCCAATACACCATCAGTCTTCTTCTTACCATACAATATCTCTAAACATTCATACTAAAAACATTTGTTGCCGTCGCTGCGGCCAGCCCCTCGTACATCTCTGCCTCCATGGATCGTTACCGAGTAGGAATACCTTCTGCCTTGCTCATAACACGCGCTATTCCTCTGTTAAACTGAGAAGAGCAGTACTGTCCCATTACCTACTTCCTGTCACGCCCTCTCCTGTCTAATTGACTAATCCAGTCTAAGCATCTTATACTGTTTATTCCGTGACTAATGGATTCACTCGTTTTCTTATGAAATTAACTGAATGCCACGGTGATTTCTCACGTGTCTATTTAAGTTTATAATCACAACAAATTCCACTATTTTTGCAGTCTATTAATCGCCGTACATTTCCCTTATATTCTCGTTATTCACAAAATTGTCATATCATTACTTCACATTCCCCACTGTTGATGTCGTATATATTTTTAAAAGACGCGTAATTTGTTTATATTTAATTTTCTTTGTGATGAATCAGCACATAAGTGTTCGTCTGTGTGTGCATTTGTTAAAACTTCGAGCCGGAGTGTTCAATTGTCTTCGATGACACTATCGCTTGTCTTGTGAAATCTGCCATATATTGATATTGACATATCCAAACAATACGTAACCTATACGTCATCAAGTCAGCACAGCCCTAGTCACCGAGGTTACGATAGCTAAGCAGTGTTATAAAATTTACAAGTAGAGTGGTATAATGTGTATGACCCTGCATATATTCCAAAAAAATGATTAACAACTCTGATATGAAACTCTCTTACTAAATACGTTAGGTTTAAGATCTAGTTCCGCCGTTCCAAAGATCATGAAGATATTTTAATGTTCGAGGTTTCTTTTCGTACCCCTGTGACCTCTTTCAAAATTTCAAAACCCCTACAATTTTTTCTTTCTTTTTTTCTGGAATACAAGAAAGTGCATTTACAAGAATGGAATAGTTCCATTTGCATTAAAATCTCTAAAATTTTGAAAATTACTTAGTTCAGTTTTCATTTTCAAACCTTCCCTGCACCTCTAATACTAAAGCCGGAGATTTCTTTCTCAGTGCAGCTTATTACTCAATTGTATACATTTAAATGGCATACGTGTCATTTAAAACGTGTGAGCACTCATAGTTGCTGAGTAATAATTTGTCTCACTAAGAGCTGTTGTTTGCGTTCTTTAACGCTCATTGGCTCAGGAAGGTGATTGTAAGGATAATGATTGCAATAAATTTCCACCTCCTTATAGGTTTAAAACTGATTTCATTGATATTACTATATTATAAAATACGCTTATCTGAATAAAAACTTCTAGAAGAAATTGGTGGTCATTGATTATTGAATTTTTAGTCGTAAGTTATTGATGCTCATCTGTTGACGCGCCCAAAATCACTAATCAATCACTTAAATTAAAATTGTATTTTCCTTTACACAGTATACAGATTAGTAGAAATTATCATTTCTTGACCTATTATGAACTTGGACACGTGTAACAAAGCATACGGGTAACTCTCTTAAAAATTTGAGGTATGTATCCTACGCCATTCCCTTCGCAGGTCCGTGCTGTGATACGCCATGTTCTTGCGAAAAATATTTGATTCCTTCACTTTAGGTACAAGAGATATGAGTTAATCTCTCATCGGCTTTGGTGGCTCGGGGCTTCAATTGATGTCAATGTAATGACTCTGACCGGGAGGTCTTAGGATTCGAGACCGTCGGTGGCAGGATTTTCGTTAGCTGGACGAGTGCAAACGCTGACAGGAGGAGAATCCTAGCAGCCAGCTGCTCTAATCGGTAGTTTTCCATGGTTTCTCCGATCAATATCAGGCGAATGCCCGGGCAGGACCGCAAGAACAAACGCGCCAGGGACCGCGTGCGATCTCTTCTTTCTCTTTCCTGCTCTATCTACGCCACTTACATACACATTCACTTCACTACCACACATGTGGGGAGCGTAGAGCTTGTCCCGGCTGGAGCGGTACCCCGTTGATTGGCAAAAACTTAGCAAGCAGAAGTGTAGGTCGGCACTGGATCAGCCATCCAGGTGAGAAGGTCACAGCCACCTCCCGAGATAAAAATGCTAAATATTTACGCGACTAATTACTTACGCATTTATCGCGCCAGGGAACACCAATCAGTCGATAAACGCGACAGACATTTTGCATTAATTCTTTTCCCCTAAAATCAATTCGTATAACTGTATCTAGAATTAGAAGTTGTATTGTCAGCTCATGCAAGTTGGATTGGGAGTACGAGACGAGCAGTGTGTTGAGAGATGAGTGATGAGCGCGCCGTGTTGTAGGCATTGGCTTGGAGACGGCGCGCGAGATGGCCCGTCGGGGCGCGCGCGTGCTGATCGCGTGCAGGGACCCGGAGCGAGGACAGCAGGCGCTGGGTAAGTAGCCACTCCACTCCAAACTTAACCAGTCAATGGGGGAAAATTACGTTACTTTAATCCACGCAGTTCACCACAATATGTGATTTGTTAAAGGTTAAATTTGCACACGTAAGCTTCCGCGGCTCGAATCCGTCAATTCTCGGCTATCCGGGAGACGCCGCGTCGTTGGCTGGGCGGCCGACGTTTCGCCTGACATGCCGCAGGCTTTCTCAGAGCAGTGACGTCACTGCTCTGAGGAAACATGTCAGGCGAAACGTCGGCCACCCAGCCAACGATGCGGCGTCTCCCGGATAGCCGAGAAGTTTTTTGAAGGTTAAATGTACCAATCTTTAAGCGAGTGCAAGAAAAGGGGTCTTTCGTTTAATTAACCTAATAATGTGTGCCTTTGGAAGAGGTGTTCATTCACTTGATCTAATGTGTCTTGTAAGCTTTGATGGAGGATATAAGACTGATGTTATTTCATGTGGTTTGACTTTACATGTGATACTGGTATTATTTCTTTATTTTAAGACTACTTGCAACGGGCCACTTTCAATTCAAAGATTATCACTTAAATTTAGTTTATTCTGCTTATATTTTCAAATAAAATACCAACTTTTTAGTTCTGATAGCTCTCAAGACTCTCTTGAATTTGTTTCGAATTTATTTTAGGTTTTTAAATTTTTGTTTCTTGTATATTTTAAGTTGCTTATCATTATCATCTCAGAAAACAGCTGACACTAGGAAATTGTTAATGTAATAAATGTTAATAGTTGTTAATGTAAATGCCATAATATGCGTGCGGAATTAGGGGTTGGACAAACTTAACGACTTTTTATGTTAATCAGGAAGACCGAATTTTTGGCCTCGACATGGATTTGAACACGCGTGGTGAGGCATCCAACTGCTTTCGTCGTGCCGAATTCGTTCCAACAAGTGCTGGTGAACGGAAACGGCAAAAGGACCCGAATGGCTTCTTTCATCAGCGTCCGAAAACTAAATTTGTCGGACAAAGATTTTTCGTTTGGTTTTGAACGTGCAGCTCTGCCGACCAAAATTTCGGCCAAAATTCGGCTCGACTGTGACCGCCGAGTTAGCCTGTCGTGTTGGATGTATGCGAAGCCGTTCTGCTCGCGTGTGCGCTGTGTTCTTGCGAAAGGAGGTCGATTCCTTTTGTCCCAGTCAAACAAGAACAAAAAATACGATCAAAGGGAAAAAATCCCGGAGTTTTGAAACTTGACATGATTTTTTGTTGGTACCTACTGCATAACGTACTAAAAATCCTGAAGTATTGGAGTGAGCCGGGGTAATTTGTATGTTGAGAGTGTGCACAATTCTTTACCAAATATTTGTAATCGATTCTTATCAAATAAACTATGAATTATCAGTTTTCGTATCCCAGATAATCTCGATTGCCACAGATACTCGAAGTCTACGTAAAAATAAGATTTGTGAAGGTGTAAAATGTTCCGTTTTTTCGCAAAATATGCAAATACGTATTATTAAATGTTGATCAAAAATAAAATTACTTCCGTGCACTGAACTTAACAAAACATATTTATTGTAAATAGTGCATTGTAATCAAAAACAAGAAATTTTCAAGCCTATATATCTAAAAGGGTTAATTTTACAACAAAACCTAATAGGAAATTTCTTGTAGGAAGTTTTATTTACTTTAATTTTGTACAGAGCATAGTTTTATGTGGGAATGATGGTTATGGAGATGTAGGCAAAACACCTTCAATTAACCGCCCTGTCCCCGGCTGAACTCCCACTCTGAAAAATATTTACTAGGTTATGCAGAAGGTACCAATAATCAATCATGTCAAGATTCAAAACTCCGGAATTTTTTCACTCGATTTGTCTAACTTGACTGGGCTATTTACATGCGGTACCATAAGGGATTAGAGGATAGAGAACATTCTGGTATACTTAGATTTTTTAGAGACCGATTACATTAGTTCATTGTTACTTAGAAAATGAATCTTTTTAATTCATTCGCGAACGTTCTTCTCAACGGGGTCGTGTCCACAGAAATGTGCTAACCACTGTTACAAAGTTTTATTTTATAAGGCAGGAGGGATAACAATGACCTAACGTCGTCGGCCACTATTAAAAAATCGAAGCATAATGGCCATAGCAGTTGCTGCGAACAGAAACAATACATATACATTGACATATGACCTATGACACGAGGCCATTGTGACACATTCTTCCCTTTAAAATGCATTCATTTCTGAGGAAATGACATTTCTGAGGCCACGACGCCGTTGAGAAGGACGTTCGAAAATTATTTAAAAATATTCATTTTACAAGGCAAGAGGTGTAACAATGACCAATGTCATCAGCCACTTCAAAACAACTTGAAGTACAGCTGCCGCTACGACGACGATGTCTGTGCAGCCAAGATCCGCGCGGAGGCCAGCGGGGGCGCGACGGTGGCGCTCCTGGCGCTGGACCTGGGCGACCTGCAGTCGGTGCGCGCGTGCGCGGCCAAGGTGCGCGAGTCCGAGCCGCGGCTGGACGTTCTCATCAACAACGCGGGCGCGGGCGGCGTCGGCGCCAAGAAGACAGAGGACGGGCTCCACCGCGGCCTCCAGGTCAGCGCCCCCCTCCCCCACGGCCGTTTTAACATTAGGGGAAGGGTTGCCAGATTGGGGAATTTCGTCCCCAAAGTAAAGGGGTTTTTTCGTTGTGGGGAAAGAAAAAATAAATAAATAAATGGACGGAGAAATGTTTGGGGATTTTTCGGGGAAGTTATTTTCATTCCGAGTCGAGATAGAAATATTATGCTCTTAATTATTATGAATAAAAAAGAAACATAACACTTAATTCTCTCTCATTTTTATGTATCAAAAAGAGAGAAATGAACAACAGGCACAGAGAAAGCAAAAAACGTGAGAAAAACGATGTCATACGGCTTCAAGCAGCTTAGAGGTCGATGATTGGTTAATCTGTATTACGTAAATTTAAAGGGACAGCCAATGGAATGGTCAGAGACAGCTCATGTCGTTGGTCCATAATTTGGAGAATATTTTTCGTTTTAGATTTGCGAAATTTTGTTTAATTGGAAAGGTTGTAGTGGAAATTCGGTAGTAGTGGTGGGAAAGAAGTCACAACATATCTGGCAACCCTGATTTGGAACCTTTATTCTTACTCACCGATACCCACCCCAATTTCGATACTGAAATATAAATAAAGTCCCATCAATTTACTTGTATTTTCTATTTGTTTTAAAACTATTTTGAAAGTATTTCTTAGTGTCTCAATTTTACATTATTCAATCAAAAAATTTAAACATATATAAATAAGCAGGAATAACACATTTATAATTGAACATTCCACTCGTGATATGAAAACCAGTAGGGTTTAACTATACAAACAAAATGCTCAATCTGGGCGGTGTATCACAAAAAGTTGATCGCTTTTTCTTATCGCTCCTCCCTACTGGCCAATCATTAGCTGCAACTCATCTATTTTAGAAGACGGTATGTATCGATCACTGTAGTGACGTGCAATAATCAGCGTATGTACTATATACAACATAACTTCTTCGTTTTTTTACACACTTTCAGTTATTTTCAATATTTGGCAAATTTTGTGACTCGGGCAAATTTCATTCGTATAATAGTCTTATTAATTACCACTCTTGCTATGGAAATTCTCAGATAAATCCCCTCCTCGCTTAGCAAGTCAGAAATTTATCGACAATTTTCAAAGCGCTCGTGATATTACTTTTGACAAAGCCTACAAATTAAGTAATTAAAATGTTTAGTAAATTGTACAATATAAAATTGAAGCGTATCAACCAGCAACATTCCATATTATAATTATTATCCAATTATGCGTGACACATCACTCCGTTATACCAATTTTTTGCGTATAATTTAATCATACATCACTTTTTTTATAGTTTTAATTTTATTTTTTGAAATTTAAGTGTTAGTAAGTGCAACCCCCAACACTCGGACAACGTTGAAATCTAAACAGCTGAATAATTACAACCGAAGCGCTCTAAGGCCTTAAACATGGAATTTCGAAGTCAAAGGTCTCAAAGAAATGTTCAACACATCCAGTCTATAAGAGGAGGTCTTCTTGCACATTCTACTACATTTTTTGATGATTCGGCGATTCTCGATACCCCACCTATTTAGAGACGCGCAGAATCTGCGACTGTACGTGAGATTAAACCAATTATTTGGTATTCTGTGCGATTGAATTGCACAGGTATAAGTCTCTGTTCGTTAATAAAGTTAAATAAGAAAAGTTTGTATTGACAATAGTGTATTGTTCTGCTCTGTTCTCTTCAAATTCGGTCAGTAAGTTCAATTACTAAGAGACATACAGAACAAGTAACGAAAGACAAGAGGGTCAATAAGAAATGATGTATTATGGGCTCAATGTGGAAATTGAAGTACAGGGAAAAGAGTAGGGTTTAATATGCGATAGTTCTCGCAAGGGTACGCTAGTTTACAATCTTAATGATGCAAATTAAATATTATATGTTGAAGTACCTTCCGTTTCCCGGATATTTAACATTATCGTCTGTTAGAAAGAAAAAGGAATTCAATATTTTTTGTGTATTTTCAATACCGTAATCTTTGAGGCAATCAGTTTATTTCCAAATTGTTTAATTATTTCCAAAAATGAGAAAAATAGTTAAGTAATTTTTAATTTCAATCACTTTTTTCAAATAATTTACTCCTTATTTGGAAGTAAATAAACTAATTGGAAATAAATTACGTGATTGTCTCAAGAATGAAGATACTGAAAATATACATTATTTTATATACACTTATAGTATTCGTAAACAAACAATATAATGGAATGAATTCTACTTCAAACAACATGAGAGTATTAGCCTGTTAATAACACACATACATACAATAATTAAATAAAATATTTCGTGTACCTGACACAACAGGCGCAAGATGAGATCCCAGCCAATCATGGACAAATGTCATATTATAATATCGTTGTATGAAATTTCTCATCAAATGCGTATTTTCAAAATGTGGCAGTTTTCGCCTCCCCTTACGTGCTTTAAAATTGTATAACAGTATTCTGAGACGTTCTGTAGAATTGTTTTCTGTTTAGGTGAACCACTTTGGGCCGTTCCTCTTCACGCTGCTTTTGATTGACCTACTCAAGAAGTCTGCGCCCTCCAGGATCATTTTCGTGTCTTCTATAGCGCACGAGTATTCTAAGCTGTCAGCCGAGGAACTTGACCACGAGGTGGCCAAGAACATAGACGACACTTCGATTTACGGAAAGACCAAGCTGGCTAATGTGCTCGTTTCTAATGAGCTGGCACGACGGTTAAACGGCACAGGTGAGTTGCAATAGAGTAGATGACCCGGAAGGGAAAGTGTTCCTCCTCCGTGAGATGTCGTGTGTTTTGGATTTTACATCGATCTCTCCTTTGTCCCCGTGTCTCTGCTCAAACTAAATAACATGTTTATGAAATGGTTCTCTGTTTTATTATTATTATTATTATTATTATTATTATTATTATTATTATTATTGTTATTGTTATTATTGTTATTATTTTGTTTCAATGTCGCTCATTAAAATTTAACGAAAATATAGCATACATTTTGGGACTAAAAATCATGCATTTTATTTACTCGTAAATTAGGGTGGGCGCATTCAGTTCTTGAGCAAATCTTTTCAGTTTGCGGGATTTATTTCATGTGGCAAGAGGTATCAAACATTATGCTCTAGGGGATGTCCTATTGATGGGCCTGAGACTATTATTTCCCAGTAAAAATGCAAGCAGATACTTCCCGTAACCTTAGTTATTAAGAGAGAATTATCTTTTTTCAGATGTGACAGTGAACAGTCTACATCCGGGTGCTGTTCAGACAGATATCTTTCGTCATATTCCCTACGGAATTGATAAAATCGTTCACTTCCTATTTGGACTGTTTTTTAAGGTAAGATATTAATTAGTAAACTATTTTACGAATACCTACTACATTTCAAGCACATAGACGAAAAATAAAGCAGTATGAAAGTCGTCTCAGCTGCTAGATCCGAATCTTTTGTTTTCACCGATTTATATTTTGTTTCTAAATGTTTATATATATATATATATATATATATATATATATATATCAATAGACTATGTTATATTATTCAAAATCTGATAAAACATTTTGGATGCAAAGGAATTGGTTGGTAACAAAACTACATAAATACCAAAAACCGTATCAAACGAAGAACGATCAAAACGTCTGGTGTCTACTGTGTTCGCATCGATCGTTTTCCAACCAGAAACCTCAAATAAGTTTGTTTGAAAAACAGTTGCAGCATTGTTGTACACGTAGGCTTCCGCGGCTCGAGTTCATGAATTCTTGGCTGTCCGGGTGACGCCGCGTCGTTGGCTCTCGTATCGCCGACGTTTCGCCTGTCATATCGCAGGCTTCTTCAGGGTAGTGGTTCTTCGCTACCTTGAAGAAGCCTGCGATATGACAGGCGAAACGTTGGCATCTTAGCCAAGGACGCGGCGTCAACCGGTCAGCCAAGAAATCACGTAACATTGTTGTATACAAGACAAAACACATAAGATTTTTTTTCTTTCAAAGTAATACTTTTACAACGCCTTGGTTTAGGGTCACTAAGTATGTCGATCTCGCATCGATCTGGACAATATACTCGTTTTTAAACAATGAATTTTATCTGTCCTTTGTGTCTATAAAAATGTGTAAAAAGGGACATATTATTTTTAAACTAGAAGACCCGTATTTAGAAACATAAATACAAATATTTTTTTAAAGTACAAGTACTATTCGAAGAAAATATTGAACAATTTTTAAGCAAGTGAAAGCTTAAGTTGAATTTCTATTCGCAGTCTGCAGAAGAAGGTGCACAGACGAGTATCCATTTGGCTGTATCTGAACAAGTGGAAGGTATTACAGGCGCATACTTCTCCGACTGTAAGGTAAGAGAATATCAAGTGCAAAAATTACTTTATGTCGTAGAAATTGTTTACCAAAGATCAATGAAACTGGAAATTTCATTAGAGAACGGTGAAAGCGTTTTGGATAGTTTACGTTAAGTCTGATGTTTTAAAGAGTTCTCAACGAATGTAATAACTAAGGGAAATAAGGTCTGCAATTTTGAGTGTAATTAATAAATTTATTTAGTAACATATAATTTCTTTTAACGCATCTTTATAAGTACAAAACATACACACCATCTCAAGTTTAATATTAAATTCTAATAATGAAAATTTGAACTTAATGATTTATTTCTCGTGGTTCTGTTTTTCTTCTTTTCTTTTATATTGCCATTATGTTACTTTCTCTCTTTCTCTTCTTTCTCTCTCTCTCTCTTTCTCTCTCTCTTTTTCTCTCTCTTTTTCTCTCTCTATTTTCTCTCTCTCTCTCTCTTTCTCTTTCTCTCTCTCTTTCTCTCCTTCATATCTCCCTTCAGAAAAAGGACTTCTCCAGTGTTACTTACGGTCACGGGCTGGATAGAACTCCCCTATCAGGCGGTAGAAAAGTGCACGACGGCGTACTGAAGACATCAATAACAGGGAAATAGAACGGAGATGATCATACAGGAGTGATTCGGGGTCAGAGACCAGATGGGAAGGCCAGTCACAGCCAGGGTCAGAATCAGTTTTCGTCGACTTAGGAGTTTTTGATGAAAAGAATTCTCGTCTCAAGAACCATCCGCGTGAACACTAATTCGCCAGAAGTTTTTGGAGCTCATGGGACGCTATGGAAAACTTTTCTGAAAAAGGCACTAGAATTACAATATTAATTGATAAAGTAGATATCGTTGAGAAAATTACGTTAGAGAAATGTGAAATTTTCATTTTCTTGGATAATCAAGTTTCCATACTCGCCCCTTCAATAGCAACCAAAAACTTTTACATTTCCCTAAGTGTCTTAATTTTTATTAACCTTCAAATTTAACCCATCGCATATTTTGCTTGTGTGAACGCGTGACTAGATTGTGAGTGTGTTACCAGTGGTCCGTTCCACCTCTTCAAAGTCTGTCACCCCTACTCCGTTGCGGCTAATGTCACTGCAGTGCCTCTGACCGTGAGATGGGGTTCGAGTTCCGGCGACGGCAGGATTTTCGACTGTAGCTTCATAGCTAGATCGAATTCAGCCGCTTCCTACTGAGAATTCTAGCAGCCGCCTACTCCAATCGATAGTTTTCCGTGATTTCTCTGATCAACGCCAAATGCTGGAGTAGCACCCTATCAAACAGACCACTGACCGCGTGCGATCTTTTCTTCCTATTTCTTCTCTTATTCTCATCCCTTACTTACACACATATACTGACATGCACTACACTCCCACACTTGCCGGAAGTCCAAGTCGGGAGCTTGTCCAGGCTGGGGCGGTGCTTCGCTGGTGGGATATACCTGGTCAGGGAAAACCCCATAAGTCGTCAGGTATGTCGGCGCGGGATTTCGCCATCCAATGGGTCGCCACCTCTCGCAAATTAAAGCGTGCTCTACACTTACAGAAGTATCGTCCGAATGATGTTTCTGTCTATTTGACAGCTAATGGCTACTGGGGAGAGGGTGTTACATTATCCAGTGAAAGGCTTCAAATTCTGTTGACGTCACTGCGTAGTTGCTGACACGTATGAAGAAAAAATGAATTTTACAATGCAAAGCAACTGTGAATTGAAGAGCGACATTACTACTTTGGTTATGCATCGTGTGTGCATGTTGTGTGTACTCTTGTGTGCTCGTATTGTGTTTTTTTATTTTTGTTTCTTGCTACTGTTGTGATCCGATGCAAGAACGACCACACGTCCGCGTGTCAGCCGCCCGAATAAGTGGCAACATCGCGCAAGTCGGCTGTCAAGTAGTCAGAAACATTATTCGGACCCAAATGACGGTAGCACTGCCGGAATCACTAACGCATGGGCTGCGGGCGTGCGCAGGAGCGGCGGATGGCGAAGGCGGCGTACGACAAGGGCCTGGCGCGCGCCGTGTGGGAGAAGAGCGAGCGGCTGGTGCGGCTTGCGGACGACGAGCGGCCCACGTACGCCTAGGGGCTGCAGGCACGCACGACATGGCGAGAAATGGTTTTTACAACGTTTCTTACGATTAAAGTAAAAAAAATGGTGTCTATGTGTCCGTTACTATTCTCATTTATGAAAGTTCATATTTGGCCAATGTATTTTGAATGGACCAATCTTTATCTTTTGGAGGTAACGCTTTACATAAATGAAAAATGAACATGTAGAATTTGTATTAATTTAATCGTGAAATAGTTTCGTTGACATTATTTCTTCATCATCTGGCTACAAAAAAAATATTTCAAAATCAAATAACAATTATAAATTAAAAGTAAAAATGATATACAGTTATAACTTAATTTAACACAAATTAGCGGCGAATACTTAATTAGTTAAAAAGGCTGATAAGTTGAGCGTCTTAGCCCAACAGCTGCATTAAAACAGCTCTCAGGGACCGAATATTTGAATTGTGAAATATTATAAATTAAGTTAATTTATCGACGAGATAGAAATAAAAAGAATGGTAAATGGAGATATTTGCTTTAGTTCAAAACGATTGTTGAAATAAATTTTGTAGAAGATGCTAGTTTGCTACCAAGGCATCCATTTATCAGTTTTTCAAATTTTTAAGTTGAAGTTTGAGTAATTTAACCAGTGGGGGTTGATTACTTGATCACTTAATTGTTAATAATGTAAATATTTACATTGCATTAAATTCTGTAATAAACGCTAAATAATGTTATTTCAGTATTAACTAAAAATAAAATAATTATTAATATTATTTAAAACGATGCGTGTTAGGAAATAATCATCAAAACATCAAAATACTGTATTGTAAATGCATATAATGTCAGAGCTTTATTGCCCAGACACGAACTTCTCAAGGCCTCTTGATTCATGTGATGGATGTTTGTAAATAAAAGTGTGTGTAACATTAATCTATTAAATGATGGAAAATATATTAATTTTTCTGTTTCAATTCTCCAGCTACATTTTTTTCCAATTGCAAGCCCCATTATACGACCAACGTTTGTTGACGTAAACTATTTCTTGATTTTTGTTTTGTTTCACTCTTACCCAAATCAATGTACAAGAAAAATCCTTCTGTGAATGTAATAATTCACTGAATGCATGTGAATGTCATTGGAATGTGTTTGTCAGATTTTCAGAAGTAATTGCTTTATTACAATAAAAAACATACATGTATACTACGAACTTACTACAATATTTCAAAATATTTGGCTTGCTCTTGCAATCTACGCTTTTCCAATTACTTTTTAAGGATTAAGTTGACCTCCTTGTGCGTAATATTCATTTCAAGGAAGGGATTTTTGTGTTTCGAAATAGATTCAGTCACAAGGTTGTGGTGAACTGAAGCGATAGAACTGTTATGGTTGCATAGCGTTCCGTAAGTTTTGGAGTATGGTCGGTGACATCCAGTATATTTTTCAACTTAATGCGTAGGATTCAGTTTTATAACCTACATATGGGAAATAAAAAATATTGATCAAACTTTCTAACATTTCTCAGCGAATGTAATTTAAGAGTTATTTTGTTAATTTCACCGCTACAGCATGACGAAGCAAAACCGTAAATAGGACTGCCATGTGAATATATAACGAAAAGACAAAACGCGAATTCATCATTTAACAAGGTCAGTCGGCTATTGATAAGTGGGACTACTATCTTTTATAAATCACTCCACTCGATCACACCAGAGATCGCTTCTAGAAATTGGAGCGTGTGATGAACCCTTCGATTGGAAAATTGACAGTCTCGAGCTGAGTAGCAAAGCATCTGCCATCCCAGCGCGTCTCCATTTGAATAACAGCGGATTGCAATGGCCCTGTGGGCGTGGTTGGGGCCGGTGATAGCGTTGCTGGCGGTGATGTTCATATACGCGGCGTTCCAGATGTGGTACAAAATGAGCACCGGCGTGTGCACTTCCAAGAGGCGACTTGACGGCTGCACGGTCCTCGTCACTGGCGCCAACACAGGTGAGAGCACGTTGCATGCGCTATCACAATCTCCGTTGCAGGGCATATCTCTGACAGGGCTGTAGCAGCCGAGTACAGATAACTGATCCTTGACTTCCGGGGACAGTGATAAATGAAGAATTAACTGAAGACTTGCAATAAAAATGGATGTCATTTTCATACTATCGAGAAAAATTATATAATATATATATAACTAATACGGCTTGTAAGGGAACAGATGTACAATAGATTTAACGTGTATGTATGTATATATATGTATATATATATATATATATATATATATATATATATATGTTAAATCTGTTCCCATACAAGTGAATCATATTAGTCAAATTTTTTCAGTTTTGAGTAAACTGTTTTCTTGCTCTGTGATATATTGAACTTTAGACTGAATACATTCACTAAGTCAACGTCGACAATATGACATAATGGATATATTCAGTCTAATCAAAGCAGAAAAACAAATAAGTCAAAACTAAAACATTTTGATTTAATGTTTTTCACGTGTAATGGGACGTAACTCTTGCCATTTGTAATCACCCCGTATCACTATCAAGAAATGCGTCTGGAATTTAGTTTTTATTCATGTTCTAGGGCTTGATTCATTCATTATTATTCTGGTAAAAAACGTACATTTAACAGAAATGGCACTTGCATCCTTTATACTTAGTCTCCAATTATCACATTGGACCCACGAAAAAAACCATGTCTTGGACGGGCTCGATTTCAAACTCGCAACAAACTCTCTCTGCTGTTGTCTACGCTCTTCAGGTCTGCACGATTACTTCATGAATGTGTTATCTACCACAAGCGATGTGTGATAAGTCGAGTTTTTAATCTTTTCCAATAATTCATCAAAAGACTGGTAGAGCGAAAAATATGACTGCTATTCCATTCACGAAATTAACACCGCGCGATTAAATAACACATCTCTGATGCGCCAATCAAGATGGATTATCTAAAAAAATATCGCTTTTTCTATCAGGTGTTTCTATTTACTAACCCCTCTTAGGAACACACTTAGCAATAGCAGACGATCGTGGCTGAACTAACGGGATATTGAAGGGCTTTGATTGAAACACATTCATGTTATTCAAACTGACACATTTTAAAACTCTGTAGGGTAATTTCATTGTGTGGAATTGTCTAATTAAAAGCTACTCGTGATTCGGATATATTAAAACAATTTTCCTCGTTTCGCTACTCGAGAAATTTCCATATATATATATATATATATATATATATATATATATATATATGAAGCCGGGACGAGATTTAAAAGTAGGGTCGTATAAATTCCTCCGGTCGTACGTCACTGAATACGTGGTCCATGCTTACACTTTTTGAGAAGTCAGTTAAGAGTTATTGCCCCAAATTTAGCTACATTAAATCTATTTTTTTTCTTTAAAGCAAATACATGATCTATTAAAATGAAATAATACATCAGTCCGATTTTAAATTGTTAATTGAGAATAAAATAAACAAAAATTGAATTAAAAGTATAATGCTTTTGTAATCCTGTTTACTTAAGAGTGATATATAAGCATGAACGCGGTAATTGTTAACTTAGACTTGTTAATTTATTTCACTTTATTGCTAAATAAAATAAATAATTGAATGATATAAGAAACAAAATACTAAAATGAAAACAAGGTAAGGATTCGCCATTCAACCTTATTGCTGTCACTTAGCAAACGTGTTTATACAAGGGAGAATTTATCAAGACAATAAATATCAAATAGTAATAAATAGTGAAGAATATAAACATAACACAATTCTCAGTTCTTCGATAGAAAAAAATCTTGCAAACAAATTTCCATATAAAGCCACTATTCACCGCCCCTCACCGCTTCAGCTTAGGCATGTACACCCCAGTCTGGATTTGGAGGGGAAATTAGTGCGAAGTAAGGGGAACTTGCCCGGCCCGTTGGAGCGCCGGGCTCCCCAGGCGGGCAAGTAGCTTGGGTGGACGCGGTTTGACATATCTGAGCTAGTGTAACTATTACTGTAAGTAGTCTCCCACAGCCTGAACAACTCGGAGTTGTTTTGTGCGTGTGTTGTGTGTTGCAGGCATCGGCCTAGAGACAGCAAAGGAGATGGCGCGGCGGGGAGCGCGGGTGCTTCTGGCCTGCAGGAGTCCCCAGAGGGGGCAGGCGGCGCTCGGTAAGTCGCGCTTTCACCGCACCAATTTCGAATCAACTCTCGAGCCCAAAACGTTTGCTTAAGTTTCATTTCACGACGAACAGTTCGGAACATTTACTTTACAACATTTAATATTTAACAACCAGCGACCTGGATGGTTGAAGTGCTTAAGAGCTGGTACCGACGCAGCACTTCGGTCCGAATGGTCCCGGGCCCCGGTTTGCGCATGGTTCTTTGTCCCTTGTCTCTCATGTACGTGTTGCGGAGGGCCTCGCCTTATGCTGATCCCAGGTCAGAGGAGCTCGCAAGTGTGTTGGTGTCTATGGTCGAATATGCGTCCTAGCGTCACGTAAAGGGTAACCGGCTGGAGAAAGCCTCAATGAAAAAATGAAAAAAACAATTTAACCACTTAACTTCATCGAGTTATAAGCATTGAGGTGAGAGCTCGCTATGTCCATGCATCACATAGATAGGAAGGATGTGGTCAGTGGGAAGGAAGAATTCGTGACTCACATCGCTGTACGCGCCGTCCGCTGCATGGCAGTCCACACAGAACAAACTCAGGAGCGCTTTCGGGAGGCCTACAGTATCGCCAGCGTATAATCAAGTTCTCACAGTTCTCTTGCCAGGTGGTGTGGTGCGTCTTTTGACCTGCTGTGAAGCAATCAGCTTGCGAGGATTTGTTTACTTTCTCACAGTCAGAGTTCAGTGTTACCGCTCGTCTGACTTGCACGAAGTCGCGGAGGCGATAAGTTTCGGCTTTGGCATAGGTTATGAACATGACATCAAGACTTGCCGTCGCCTGACAGTAAGTAAGTGTTACTGTTCTGAGATTTAATTTATCTGTCACGGAGGTAGTTCCATGTGCGTAGTAATGTGCGGCAGCAGCGCATCAAACCTAGTCGCCGGTTCTGTAGGGTGCTCTCCTGTGGGTAACATCTCTAAGGCTAGTCTTAGAAAGAGTCCGTGATGTTACGCAGCGAGATTCACGGCAGAGTCACAGCGGCGATCACCGCAACTTGGGCCGCAGTTTTTCTCTCACTACTCAGTTCACTCCGGTAAGAATGACGAAGATGTCGAGTATTTCCGCGATATTAGTGGATTTGAGTTCTGTGTCGGATTCCGAAAGCGAGTTCGTTAGAAACATTATGTTACGCCGTTCAGTTGGAGCAAAAAGGAGAAAGAAGAAATTACACAAATAAAAGAGAAACACATGGAGAGTTTACTCTAAGGAAATTGATGATGACAAATTTCAGAACTAGTTTAGATTAAACTGTAATCAGTTCAGAAGTGCACAATCTAACCAAACATGAAATTTCAAGAAGGGGCTGCAACGCCACTCGGCTCATTGGAACTGAGGAAAACTAGCACTGTTTTTAGTGTCTTTATTGTATAGTATTTTAGTTATCAATAGAACCTGTATTTGTATGCAAATGCATATATTATTTTCTAATGATTTCTTAGAAGATTATCACGTTCCTTTGCGAGTAAACCCATTTGGTGTTTTTGAAAATGCTATTTTGCATATATTCTCATATCAGAAGGTTACTGCATATTTGTGCACTTTCAGCAAACTTTTTGAAACAATAACGGAAACTTATTTCAATATAGAGTATAAATAGCTAATTTAAAAAGTCTTAAATCAATCTTCTTGAATCTGGTGAATTATATTTCATAAAACACCCCATTATCTTTATTTAACACCTCATCATGGTTTGTATCACAAAGAATTTTAAGAACACGCACGCCATCCATCTCTTTTTCTTCTATCTTCAAGGGAGTTGATGCGGACCTTCGCAGGAAACTGCGTGAAAAACACTGCGCCCCGCAGGGTCACCACGCTCAGAAACGGCGCCCCGTCACCCTGCGCTGCAAAGTGCACGGGTCCGATAAGCATAGTGGTGCGCAGAAACTCACCTCTAGTCAGCCTGCGTCGCGTCACGGACCTGCTTCTCCTTTCGCGACTAGCCCAACAGCCTCAGTAACACGATCGTGTGAATAAAACAATGTTTTGCCAATGGAAGCGCTGCCGAATGGCTCTGTATTTCGATGGCCTATGACGTTACGTCATTATTACACCTCCTGCTCCAAAATAAATCTTGTTAACACAGCGGAAATCACATTTCTGAAATCACGTCGAGGAGGACGTTCGTGAATTATTTAAAAATATTATTTTATACAACAGGAGATGTAACAATAACCTAACGCCATCGGCAACTTAAAAAACTCGAAGTGTAGTGGCAACGAGCTGGCGTGTGCGCAGAGGAGGTGCGCCGCGTGGCCACCAAGGACGCGACGGTGGCGCTGCTGGCGCTGGACCTGGAGTCGCTGGAGTCCGTCCGCGCGTGCGCTGCGCACGTCCTCGCCACGGAGCCGCGCCTGGACGTCCTCATCAACAACGCGGGCGCGGCCTTCCTCAGCAACGCCAAGACGGCTGACGGCCTTCACACCGGCCTCCAGGTGAGCCCTCCGAGGATATTCTTTGGCCCCGTAATTTTGAATCGAATTGAATTGAATTGAATCGAATCGAATTGATTTGATTTGATGTCTTATTTTACGTGGCGAGACTCGGGCCATCAGGCTCGCTCTTCCGTCTCACCACACAAATTTCGCTACGCTCCTTTCACCAACTAGCGGAGAAAGAAGGTATTTCTTGTGCGACGAAACATGCGATTTTAATTTAGCTCAGAGGCTTCATTTAAGCTTGAGGATCTTTTACATGCAAGTAGATCTACTAACATGGGACAGCCGGCTTTTCTTCCCCTCCGAAGGAAGGCCGTTAAAAATCCACGGCTTTGATCGGGTTTGAACCCGCGTTTGAACCCGCTTATCGTTACACCATCGCCTCCGCTGCTTTTGTCTTTTGGCACGCGTCAACTGCTATAGTAATTAATTCCGTAAATGTAGTGTTTGTTACATCTCGGGAGGTGGGCGGTGTTCCTCCCCTGCTGGAACGTGAGATTGGACGAAGACCTACACGTCAACTGATCGGGATCCCCCTCCAGGAACCTCCCCATCGGGTTACCGCCTCAGCCGAAACGACGTCTAAGTATTACTTCGCCGCTGGGACGTGAAGTCCGGCCCCAACCTTCATGAGGGCTCGCGCCTCTCCCACTACCCTTATCAGAGCCCCGCCTCGCTCGGGGCAAAATCTGAGGCTTCCGACTGGTCTCCCGACATGCGTGGTAGGGTAGTGCTTGTAACTACATTATTTGCCTGGCTTGTCCGTATGGACACGCAGTACGAGAATGTAGATAGTTCAAACTTCCACCCTAAAATGTTGCAGTATTGCGATTAGAACTTCATGTTTTCCATAACATTCTAAAAGTTATCACCGTGTACATTTAAAAATTTTGAGAAAAATAATTTTTAATTCTTTTCTGTAAATTATACAATGGTGTAATGCGACTTAAAAAAAGTCCTGCAGATACGGGTTAAAGCCACGTACAGTTTTGCAAATATTTGCGTTGCGCACGATTCCCAACAAATATTTACGATGTGAGTCGGAAGTTGGCGCATCGAAAATATTTGAGTCATGCGCTGTGCGTCCGTGCTCAGTGTGTGTGAGTCGCGTTGCTTGTGTAGTCTGTGTGTATTCTGTGGATATTTGTCTTCTGGCAAATTTATCTAAAGTATTTGTTTCTCAGCTGCAACTAATTTTTCATATGACATGGTGCATTAAGCTGATCACATGACATTTTTTCGCAGTAGTGGACATTTGTGAGGTTATCTCACCTTAGCCACAGACGCGTTCTGTCCACAATACAACTGATTGGCCTCTCAAATTTCTTTGATGAGCGCGGAAATAAGATGTGAAATTTTTTGCGTGCATTCCAGTTAGGCGAGATCGTCTGTTCTATATGAAATCAATACGCTCACGAAAAATATTCATGTTGCGCGCCGCATTCGGAGTAAATGTTTGCAAATGTGCATGTGGCTTTAGAGGAGAAAACAAAGATAAGAAAGAAATTATTGCACGTGGTTCGTGGTTCTTATATTACGGTACTGGCAACTTGTCGGCAAAATTCCCCTCCAGACAGTGATAGACATCGACACAACTATACATCGAAAATCCGCCACCGTCGGGACTCGATCTACAAGTCCTCCCGGTCATCGCTGTAGTGGTGAAGGTTGTCTCTAAGCCATTTCAGCAGGTAGGAATAACAGTTCCTCCTCCATCTTCACCATATTTTACATTATTAATCAGATTAACTTTCGATGATTACGCCCTCTTCATCACATCTGACTCGGATTGGCTTGATTTTCACTCCAGCGCGGTAGATTCGGTAATTCCACGCGATTACGGCTTTGAAAAGCATTTAGAGTTTTAACACAATGTCAACGCCTCACTCAATAGGAAAAGGTGAATCTGCCACAGTAAATACGTTTTCAAAAATATGATGAAAAGGTTAATTGCGAATCCTTCTAATATGCGAAGGTCCTGAGACAATTATTTTAAAATGTTACAAGATTTTAAAATTAGGATTTAGAGTGTTTTAATTCGAAAACATTTTATAAGTGGTTCTTAAAGAAAAAACGTGAACTTCAGTATTACCTCCTCTAAAGTATCACTTCTCAGACACCAACAGCAATATTTTCTCCTGGTTGCTTATATTTTGCAAATCTGGAACTGTAAATTGATATGGTGTCATTAGTTCACGTTTGTATAATAGATCAATTCTCCCGGACAGAATCTTAATGTTACCTTAATATTCAATGAGGCAGACATTTGCTTTTGGCGGGGTCAGCAAAACATTGTAACTTACTTCCATTACGTGAAATGCAATCAAGAAAGTGGTGCACTAAATATTTCTCCGCAGGTGAACCACTTTGGACCGTTCCTCTTCACGCTGCTGTTAGTTGAGCTGCTCAAGAAGTCTGCGCCCTCCAGGATCATCTTCGTGTCTTCAGTGGCACATGAGTACGCCAAGCTGAAACCCGAGCAACTGGAATACGATGTCGCCAAAAAGATTGGCGACACTCAGATATATGCGATGACTAAACTGGCAAACGTTCTCATTTCAAATGAATTCGCTCGGCGACTGAGTGGCACAGGTAAGACAACAAAAGGATTAAAGGATATCAATATGATACCTGCTTAAATGAAAAGGAAACAAAATATGTAAAAGAAACAATGATCTTTTTAAGTAACTTGCTATGGAAAATAATAATTATTTTTTTACAGAAAATTACTTTCTGTTCAAGAATTTCAAAATTACAAAAAAATTAAAATGCAAGAAACTTTTTTTGTATAAATTGTTATAACACGACGCTTTCATCTGTATTTTGTTATGTTGGTCTTCGTTTGTTAGGGTTTTTCTGTAGCTAGGTAACTCCTCGAACGACCACTGAGATTTTCTGTAATCCTTAGTGCTAATAAAATTGCTGTCATTTACATTGAAAGAGAGAGCCGATAATAAAAAAAAGTGAGGAGCTACGTTGGAAAAATGGGTGAAAAAAATTTTCGATTTTCATTATGATACAAACCACAAATTATTTATTGAGTCTTTAATGTTCATAAAACCGTTTGAACGATGTTAAATTATATTATTTTCTATTATTTTATTGTTATGTTTTGCTGTAAATTGGTATTTATATTTGTTACTTCAAAAATTGATACTACCAGCTTCAACGCCAGTCATTACTTGAGTCTCCTTATCTTTGTTATTGTTCGAATTAGTGTTTTAATCAGTTACAAATTATGTCATTTCGAAATTTAAATTACTTTGAGATGTCCGTGCTCTAGTTCTCTTATAATTTGCCAAATACTGTGTATGTCTTGAATGAAAATTTCTTAAAATAAAATATTTTTTTATTTGTTTTCTTTAAAACAATGCATACTTGAAAAATGAACATTATTTGGAACGGTCTTATGAGAGTGTATTTGCATTTGAATTACTGCGGTATAGATTGTCACATTATACAATGAAGTTACTTATATCTTGTAGATCCATATATTGAATGCATCATATGTCTTTACGATATGTCAATTTAAAATTTTTGACAATAAAGAATAGGTGATTGGCCAACAACATATGGACCTACAAGATAAAAATAACTTAAGTGTATTTCCCGAAATATTGAAAGAAATTGTATGTAATTGGTTTTCTTGCAGGTGTAACAGTGAACAGTTTGCATCCAGGAGCTGTGAAGACAGAAGTTTATAGAAATTTACCTGCTGCTATGGCAACGATTGTCGACTTTGGAGCAGGGCTGTTCATGAAGGTATTTCTTGTACTTTTTGCTCGTAGGATGTAAGTAATAAATTTATTTATTGAATAGATTTTTAGACAGTTCAATGATTTCGCGAAACATCGGATCTGAGATTTTTCTGTAGCAAAAAATGCAGATCGCGACAACTATTTTTACTTACGAGCTGTCGGGTCAGAGCCGAGAGAGAAAAATTGACGAAGTTATGATTTTAAAGTGAATATAAAATACACGATATTGGGATAAGTCAAATGCGAATCGCAGGGATCGGTGCTACGCTGCTACACAAAAGCTTCAAGTGGGTTTTACAGTTGACTATTCACAAACAACAACGATTCGTTGTGCAGATTAACCAAAGTTGTGTTATATACTATAATACCAGCACCATGTGCGAGCATTCTGCATTTCGTAAATCAATACGTGACATATGAAAAGAGCTTCATAATGAAGCCCATAATTTTAAACACTGAATTGTGCATGAGTAAACAACATAAGAATACAAATGATGAGACTAATTATTAAGAAATGAGCACGTTGATACCTAAGTCTCCAATTTTTCCAAAGCATTCGGAAAAAGTTAGTGTCATGTAGTGATAATCAACAAGCCAAGCTGTCTTTCTTTTCAGACCCCTACGGATGGCGCTCAGACGACGATCCACCTGGCCGTGTCTGAAAAAGTGGAAGGAGTCACTGGCAGTTACTTCAGCGACTGCAAGGTAAGCGTAGTGAAAGGGGGCGACATACGCTCGGAATACACGACAAATTTTCTCGTCCGGGAAACGAAGCATCTCGACGAACAAAAGTCACAAACCCACGCCCGATAGCGGTAGATTCACATTCGTGGTTGCAGCATCCTGAACGCCTATGAACGAATGTCACTGAGGTGCCAGTGCCCGGAAGGTCCTAAGATTTGAACCCCGACTATGGCAGGATTTTTGAAACTAACTTGTCAGCTGGATTGAATTCAGTCCCTGTCTGGAGGAGAATTCTAGTGGCCGGCTGCTCTGATCGGTTGTTTTCCGTGGTTTCTCCAACCAACATCAGACGAGTGCCGGAGCAGTACCCTTACAAACGTACCACAGATCGCGATCTTTCCTTTCCCTTCCTTGGCCTATCCTCACCCCGTAAACACACACTTATATGCACTAAACTACTGCACATTGTCCCGTCTGGGGCGGTGCCCCGCTGATGGGAGATATCTGGTTGAGGAAAACCCTGAAGTGAAGGTCAGCGCCAATCTCACCATCTAGCGGGGAAAGGTCACCGCCATGTTTCGAGCTCAACCATGCACTACACTTCCGGGACTAGCAGCCTTAGCGGTAGGTGCGCCCAGGAACACGAAGTAATCAATCTGAACGTTGTGGGCGTTTGCGAGTGCCGCCCTCCAGCTATTGCGCAGACAGCGAAGCGCCATCGACGCGTCGGCTCTGTGACGTCACCCGAACGTAGGCGATACTGGGCAAGTCAATGGAGACACAAGCTCACACGTGGGGTTGAAAAGGGAAAATTTCGTGTTTTCGCGAGCGCGACAACTATTTTGGTTATTAATCCCGTCAGTAGAGTGCACCTTATTTTAAAGGAGGTGGTGATACCTACCCCGCTGAAATGTGATATCTGGCGCTGACCTACAAGTAGGATTGCGGGGTTTTCATTCTCTAGGTATCTCCACCAGTGGGGTACCGCTTCTCCGGAAAACACAATTTCCCGTTTTGTGATTTCGGGCGCCTCACCTGCTACGGCTATTGTTCCCATAAGTGTAGTGTATTTGCCCTTCTCTGAAGGTGTCGGTGAGCTTCCCCCGCTGGATGGTGCGATCCAGCGCCGACCTGCCGTCGACTAGCTGTTTCCCTCCCCCAACAAGTTATCTTCCACCAGCAGGGGAGCGCCCTAGCCAGGACAAGCTCTAAGCTCCCGATCGGTCTCCCGGTGTAACGTATTAGCCAGCGTGCCTCGTGGCATTTATTTGGGGGCGCTTGTAGAGGATTAGCCCGCTACACGAGGAGAGAAGGGTTTTTCCGTATAGGCAAGAACGCGGAAACGGGAGACACAAGGCTTTGGGTATCCGGCCTATGGAAACCTTTCACTGTTATAACAAGCGGGGGCGGTGGCGTGACGTAGTAGGTCACGTGGGCCTCGCCTATATAACAGACTGTACAGAGCCAGTGGGGCGGGGGGGGGGATCTGGAGACAGTGGGAGAACCTCGTGCTGTGTGCCACAAAACTTGGCGCCACGACGGTGCATATGCGAGCCAGGCTCGCGAGGCTCGAGTCACTAGTTGACGAAGCCTGCGGACTTTAGGTCCTTGGGTTGACTGCGGTCACGGGGGAGCGATGCTGTGTCGTGCTCCGAGGTGAAGAGTGACTGAGTGCCACGATTCACGCCGATTCTCAATCGGATAAGATCGCTCCTGCGATCGAGGCAAACCAGCCGTTGGTGCGCCAGAACGAACTTTGTGTCCCAGCGTGACATCCGGTCACGGAAGCTAGGCTTTGTGCGCGCTTCAGAAGTAGGAGTGGCGAATGCCACAATCAAAACCATCTTCAATCGGGTTTGGATCGCTCCCGCAATCAGGGGATAGTAGGTCTATCAGAGCTAGGGGGTAAGTAGGATATTAAGTGTATATATTTGTTATGTTTTCTTTGTTAATAAAATATATTGTTATAATGATGAACTCTGTGTCTGTGGGTCCAACTGTGAGTATCCATGACGTCACACCGGCATGTGTGGTACTGTAAGCGCATGCGGGCGTGTTTGAAAAAGAGGAGATATGGAAGAGGAATGAAAGATCGCGTGCGATCAATGGCACGTTTCTTGGAGTACTGTTCCAGCATTCGCCTCACTTCGATCGGGTAAACCACGGAAATCTACCGATCCGAGAAGCCACCCGCTAGAACTCTCTTGCAAACCAAGTTTCAAACCAATTCAAACCACGTTTGTAGATTGTGTCGAAAACACGCCACCGTCGGGATTCGAGCAAAACTGAGTCTTTGTGGGCGCCTTTGGGAAATGGGTAACATGAGACGCGCATCCCCGAACGGGAAAACTTGTCACATATCCTATACATATTTAGGCTTCTTGACGCCTTATCGACCTTTTTGAAGTCATTTCTGTATATATTAAAAATTTATCGACATACTAACTAGGGATCGATAACTGTATATATTTTTGTTTAGGAGAAGCGTATGGCGAAAGCAGCGTATGACGTAAACCTGGCCCGCGCTATATGGGAAAAGAGCGAACAACTGATGGGGCTCCAAGCCAACAAATTTCCTTCCGTTGGCGAAGAAATAAAATCACCCCCACAACCTCTGCAAGAAGATACACCAGAAGGCGTTTCAGTTGATCCATAAAACAGAGCGTACACAAATCCGAGTCGAGACTAGCGTGCCACTTTGATAGGTCGTTCTTTCAAAATCATAAATTGTTGACAGCACAAAATTTGGCAGTTCTCGAAATAAATGTGTCATCTTCCATTCAGAGCTCATCAAGCAGTTTAATGGATTTTAAAAGTCATACGCCACTAAGAAAGTCCTGCGTGTTCTGAGTTTCTTAGGTCCTACACTTCATGTTATATTAATGAAATCAATGCTTGTAATACTAAGTCAGAATTAAATTTCGTTTGCGACAAATGTATATACACGATTTAGATTTGTGACGTTAAATCAATAAATAAGGTAACAATAATGGGAATTTCTAAACCAGAACAAGCTGATGTAAGAACAATTGTCTGTGATAAAATATTCAAGGTTATGTACTGTTAATGGTTAAGCATGTGAACAAACGTTATGTAAATTAATGAATACGGTAATATTGTTTTACAATTCAAATAATTATTTTTATTTCTCACGCCAATATTTCAATTCTCTTCGACTAACAAGAAAGTGTTGGGATGGGTCAGGGATGGGTCAATGCATAAGCATTCTAAGAACGTACTGAACACCCTCACTAATAGACACTTTACATTAGTTCATAAAAATATGTAAAATGTTGTAACATATATTACATTTTCAAATTAATATAATTAATGTTTATATTTATTTTATTACTTATGTTCAATATTTCAATACATCTATAGGAGTTCATATTTTCATGCTTTTCCCCTCCAAATACATTTATCCTACCCAAGTGATTGACACGGCGGGCACAGTAGCTTTTCCTCGGAGACCACTTATAAAACCACACACGGGTTAGAATCGGCCAGAAGTCTACATAATTTATCACCGCCGCTTGATTTATTAGCGTCGTTTTAACACTGATTTTTATTAAATAATAGTATCAAATAAAAGTACTTCATAAAGTTAAACTGTTAAACTGTTAAATTATTACATGATGCACTGGCGGCTCATTTCGATTGAACCACCTTCAGATAATTCGAAGGTACTTACACATGTATGTTAGAAATTTGTCCTTTGAATTTGTCTGCAAATCGAAATGTTGCTGCAATAACAATGTACGTAGCGCACCCAGAAATTGTTTCCCAATTTTGTGAAATAAAAGACAACATAGTTATATGAGAAGCTTTATTGGCAACAGGTACAGCAATGTTTGAGCAACTTTTCGACATAGTCACCACATGAATTACGACACTCATATTGTGATATCAAGTTCTGTATACCTGACTCGTAGAAGTGTGCCGCCTGCGTCTGGAACCAGCGTGACACAGTCGTTTTCAGCTCTTCGTCGTTGTGAAAACGCTAACGGGATGACAGGTATGTCTTCAGGTGCAGGAAAAGATGAAAATCGCTGTGTGAGAGATCAGGACTGTTTGGGAAATGATCAAACTGCTGCAGAACGGTTGCTGTTTGCCGCGCCGTACGTGTGACATTTCGCTTATGAACGTTTAATATTGCGAAGCAACAACTATCCGATTAGCCACGCGTTCTCATGCATCACAACATTGCGAGCACGCGGTCATTCTCCGTGCATTTTAGTACCGCAACTGCGGTACCAGCAGTGGGGTTTAGTGAGCTTGGAGAATGCCAGAGGTGAATACCAGTTTTCTGTCTTCGTCTAAATATCACTGTAAACTACGCGTGTTGTTGAAGTCAAGTCAACTTTTGACTTATTGAATACGCCATTTAGGATGTTTGATGAACTTATATTGTACGATATAAGGTTAATTGAATCAAAATAAAGATTTGAAAACTGCAATTTACTTTCTCGCTTCAGAGTAGAGAGAGAGGTATGTAATGCTGCGCGAAAATAGTTTTTTTGTGACGAATTTTCGGCAGAAAATCTCTTATTACAGGACGCTGGTAACAAAAAAATGGAGAAATACAGTTGCTAAATCTAGAAAAAATAGTCTTTTAACACGTGGTGTTGCCAGTATCCATGTTTTGTGGCTTCTTGATACCGAAAAATCAAATGAAAGCAAAACACCTGTCTGTCCGTCTGGGAACAACACTAGCGGCTAGACCATTCAGCCCATTTCCTTCACAATTGATATTTCCTAATTGTTTTGACTAATGTCACGGCCCCTGGACTTGGAAATCTATATTTCAATTTTCGTGTGTACTTTACATGAAGCCCCTGGGACATTTTCAAAATTTTCAAAAAAATGGCTTCATCGTTTTTAATTAATATTATGTTGATGAATTTGCTGTATTATGCAAAAGTGTTATTATATTTAATCACATCACTTGCTGTTTAAATGCTTAAATGAACCGGTGAGGGGAATTTTCATTTAAATTTAATTCAAGCAATAAAATAGCCTATATTATAAATTACTTATTTATGCACAAACGGTATGAATAAAGGGTTCTAATGATCAAGCGTTGACAAAAAGCCCGAGGGCTTTGGTCCTAGCCGAGATCATTATAATCTGGTAACACCCGTGATACAAATAAGATTATATTTTTTTACCTAATTTTAATTATACATATTTACTAGTTTACCAAATAACTAGATGTTACTTGACTCGGCTTATCTTTTCATATTTCCCTCCATTAGCGAACATGTAGCTTCATTCAACTGTTTTCATATTTCCCTCATTACCACGATCCTCTCGATGTAAGCAAGTCCCGTAGCGTATACAGAGCTGCGCATCGAATGCAATAACAAGCCAACGCGCATGAGTAAGAAACGAGCCCTTTATTTGCGACGGCGCTACGCGAGGCGCAGGAAGGCGGGCGGCGGCGCGGGCGCGGCGGAGGGGTCGAGGCGGTGGCGCAGGCGCTGCACCTCCGCCTGCAGGTCCTCCAGGCGCTGCTCGCGCAGCTCCAGCAGGCGGTGCAGGTGCTGCTCCTTCAATCATTCATTCGTTCGTTCGTTCATTCAACTGGTCAATCATACATTCAATCATTCATTCAACCAATCATTCAGTCAAACATTCATTCATTCCGGACGTGTCAACTGCTATTAGCTGCTTATTAGCCCCGATTACGTTTGGTGCCTCCTTCCATTTTCACTCTATGTACCATATGTTTAAATGCGCCCAGGAGACAACAACGGAAAATTTTCTCTATTTTGAGGAATTGTAAAACAGTGACGTTTGGTTGATTCGTGATCCCGGGCGCGTCAATAGCTAAGGCGATTAGCATCGTAAGTGTAGTTAATATTTTTATTGCGAGAGGTGGCGAATTTCTTCACACGTTGGATGGCGAGATCCGGCGCCGATCTAAGTGGACTTGCGGGCTTTTCCGCAACCAGGTATCTCCTACCAGCCGAGGCAAGCTCTAAGCTCCCATCTACTGTCCGTGATTGTGTGGCAGTGTAGAGTATGGTTGAGTAAATGTATGCAAGGAAGGGGTGAGGATAGGAGAAGGTAGAGGAAGGAAAGAAAGCGTGTTGTCCGTGGCAGGTTTGTTAGCATAGTGCCCCGGTGTTCATCTGAGCTATTCGAGCCGATAGCGATGAATAGGCTGACCTTGGCGATGAGCTTGGCGATCTCGTCCTCTTTGCTCTGCATCTCGCGTCGCACGCGGCGCAGTGCGGACAGCGGCACCGTCACCGCCACGCCGGCCGCCAGGCCTCCGCCCCCGCCGCCGCCTCCGCCCATGAACGTGGACGTGGGCGCGGGCGCGGCCTCGCCCCCGCCGTCCAGCGGCGGCGGCGCCGGCAGCGGCTGCACCCCGAACAGCGCCAGCGCCTCCGCATCCGCCTGCGCCTGCAGCGCCGCCTGCGCACGCACACGCAACCACGCGCTCACACGGTGCCCGGTCTCCGTTAAAGTGTAGTTAAAGGCGGCTCCACACATGCAGCATTCGTCGAGCGGCCAGCTACTGCTCGCCCAATCCCGAGCTGTGTTCGGCGAATGATTTCTCCCTTTGATATGTCCCAAAGATCAACACGTGGTGGGTAGAACGAATACCGAATGTTCAGCTCTCGGCGAATCGCAAGCAACCTGTCCTCACAGTAACACGTGTCGCATGTGTGGAGCTGCTTTAATACCAGGGGAACGTTTCTGCATTGTGTCAGAGTTCAGCTAACGAGCTTCAGACACCATTTTGCATCACAATATTAGAGGGAATTTTGAACGTAATCAGATACAAAAATCGCCTCGTTGCAAGACATTGAAAGACATTCATGAAGTATTTAGTTTTAATTTTGCATCCTGTATACCTTCATTGTGATATTTTTGTCTCTCTACGTAACGGCGCTCTACGAAACCCGCAGTACCCTGAAGTATTAAGAGTGTCTGCCTCTGCAATTGTGAAATAACGCCCGGGAGAGTCAAGGGACAGAAAGGCAGAGAGAGAAACAAACAGAAAGACAGAGAAAGAGAGAGACGGTTAGGCATGGAGAGACGGAGAGGCATGGAGAGACGGACAAGGAGAGTGAGAAAGAAAGGGAGAGGGAAGGAGAAGAAATGTAAGGCAGGACGTCAGCCGGGTTCCGCTAGTAGTACAATAACAATCTAATGCAGTGCACTGAGGTTTTATCAGTACTCTCTCTCTCTCTCTCTCTCTCTCTCTCTCTCTCTCTCTCTCTCAGCTATTATTGACTACCTTTTCGTCCGGCCTGGTGAGGAAGCGCTTGATGGCGGGCTGCAGCTGCCGCAGGAGGGCCTCGAGGTCGCCGGGGCAGCCGTCCACCAGGCGCGCCATCATATCGCTGCCCAGCCGCACTCCCAGGCGCCGCAGCACCTGCAAGCGCACAGCACGACGCAAGCACTTTTATTCTACCCACCGGCGGTTTTCAGGACTACTTTTACTTTCTCGCTAAGGAGTAGAGAGAGAGCTGTAATGCTGCGCAGTAAAACGGCGAATTTTCCGAAGAAAATCTCTTATTACAGGACTCTAGTTACGTGGATAAATCCGTTTGCTAAATTTATAAAAATATTCTTTAGCACGTGATGTTGCCAGAATCCATGTATTTTTGGCCCTTGAGCGGCTAAACCGTTCAGAAGATTTTCTCCAAAATTGATTTTTCTCAATCAATCTGGCTGATATCCCGGCCCCTTAAAACCGATATATCAATTTTCAAGAGTACTGTACATGAACCCCGTGGGAAGGACGATTAAGAGAATGGTGCAGATCTCATGATCGTTAAAGAACCTGATTTATCGAAAATTGCAAAAGTTAAATTTTTTTCCTACAAATAAAATATTAAATATAGAGTTTTTTCCTTAATAATCTGTTCCTCAAAGATTAATTTTGATATAAGGTCATGTACCGTTTTTGGAATCTTCCACAAGCGAGGCACCGCCCCAGCAGGGGCAAGCTCTAAGCTCCCAACCGGTCTCCCAGCATGTGTATTAGTGTAGTGAATGTGAATGTTTGTGTGTGTGTTGTGTGTAGAGAGAGAGAGAGAGCAGAGAGAGACACAGAGACAGACCAGACACACAGAGACAGACAGAGCACACCAGAGACAGACAGACACACAGAAGAAAGACAGACAGCACAGAGACAGACAGACACACTAGAGAACAGAACCAGACACAGCAGAGACATGACAGAACACACACGGAGACAGACAGACCACACAAGAGACAAGACAACGACACACAGAGACAGACCAGACACACGAGACAGACAGACACACAGAAGAACAGACAGACACATCAGAGACAGACAGACACACAGAGACAG